CTTGGCCTTGGCCAGCGGTGGACACAGGGAAAACTTCTAGCAGCTTCTCACAGAAGCCACCCCTGTAGCCCCCCCACTACCAAGACCTTGCCACAGAAACCCAATACAAGTCAAGAATCTGATTCACAGTAATAAAGCTCATAACATGTTGCTGCATTTTACTGATTTTGTCAATGAAATTAGCACAATACAGCATTCATCAAAAAATGGATCTGATGGCATTGGCCAGATTCTAAAATAAATTTACCTGAAGAAGACCAGTCTTGAATCCACATAAATGATTCGGACTGCAAAGTCAGTGAGACCATTTAGAAAATGTTGTTCCTTATTTCATTATCATCAGGCTCATGGTCTAAAGCAAAACTTACTGAGAGGACATGACATCTTCTCGTCTTTCCTATACCATATACTCTGACCTTTTGTATCACTTGAGATTCAAGAGAATGGTTCCAGCTGAACATTAAAAGTAGTCTCTTTGGGCTAGGTTAGCACATTGCTCCGCCTCTACAATTCGAGATAGATAATCCAAGGAGCCCAATTAATATTCAGGAATTTATAAGGTAAATAGTTGTATTCCAGAAGAATTGTTAAGTGTTTGGTGCTTCTGAAAATCCAACCATTCAGTGAAAAAGAGAGCTTTCAGATGTAGATATTTCTTTTAAATATGGTCCTTACACTAACATCCGGCTCTTGAAAAGCTGGCCTGGCACAGCCAACAGGTGGTATAAATGTCCTTTCAATAAAACATTTTTCTGCAATAACAAAACATTCCCCAAAGTTTACAGTTATGCTGATTAAGGCAGTTTTTGCTTATTTCTGGATCAAGCTGAAGAGGATTGAATTTGCTTAGTCGAGGAAGAATTTGTCTGAAGCATACAGAAACAAAGACTTCTGCAGATGTCAGAGTTTCACTGCCTGTTCAAATCACAGCATATTATTTCATTAGTGTGGGATGGCTCTGAATCTACCCCTGCTGGTACATTCTTTATCCACGCACACAGCCAATTAAAATAATTGTGGCTGTTTAGCTGATTTTGCAAAATGCCAACCAACTTAAAAATGTAAACAATTAAAAATAGGGTTTTTGCCTGTTCAGGTGTTGGGAAATATTAAATGGACTTTAACAGAATACTAATCACAAACATAATGTTAGCTCTTAAATAATTTTTACTGCACCAGATAGACCACAAGGACTCCTGGCATGGGAAACATAAAGAAGTTGCTAGCTGGCGTGGTTAATGGCCACAGAAGAGAAAGGTTGGTTTTAGGCATGCCATGCTCACTGGTTTTTTGTGGGTAGCTGTAGGCAGGCTGATTTAGGTTCTGTGGTTGAGGTGTGGCTCTCAGTATGTCTTCATAACAGTACTAAAGCTCAATTAAGTGATAATCTTGGTTCAAGCCCATAACTGCCACTGTAATAATAATAATAATCATATCTAATTCCTACCTAGGTTCAATACCTACAGGTATTTTTTTTCCTTTCTGAACAGAACATCAGATTAAGACTGGAGAAGTTTCATATATCTGGCTCCTTGGTAAATATAGTAGAAATTTTACTCTTAATATCATCTGACTACAATAAAAGCCCTACATCAGTAGTTTAATGCCATGAGATTTAAGCTGTATTCTACATCAAAAGCTGAAAGATAGGCCAATGTGTAGCAACTTACCAGACTCGTGGCACCCAAAATCCAGGCTTTTTCTCTCCAGGTCTTAGCTTTAAATTGAGATTTTTGGAAACACTTACATTTATTCTGAAGATGCCATGACAATCTTCCTATAGTGAAATAAAACACAGCCTGAGATTAAATAATGGCCATGAGAGATGCCAAAATGGCAGTACAGACAGCACACTTGCCATGATGGGGAAGCAATGTAAACAGAAATGAAGGGTTATTTACAGTTCTGGGATTAATAGTCATGGACCTTTACCCAAATGAAGAATGTATTTTATTTAGGAAGGATTCAAAACTCCCTTCTCCTTCCAGGACTGAAAGTGCTTTTCATTTTGCAAGACTACCCATTCATCTCTTTCCTAAAGACCATTGGTCTCTTTGGGTGATGATATTTCTCCAAAGGGAGTAAGAAATACAGCTAACTTTCTTCATGTAACCTATGTACCATTCCTAGTGCTTTTGACCTCTAGCAGCCTAACCTGTTTTTTAGCTGCTGACCTAGGAAATGCAAAGGTGTCATTTTCTATGGTTAATTCCATGTGACATCCAGTCCTTTGCAGGTAATATGGCGTGAACATATGACAGCTTTTTCACACAGTCCCTGATATCTGGACTTGCTTTACTTTTTTACATGAAAATGCAGCCTTACCCTCATTCACACACTCCTTTATCATCTTTCCCTCCATCAACCTGCTTCTGAACAAGAAAGTGCCCAAGATCTCCATCTCTCAGTTGATAGGTCTGATTGACCCACTTGCTTTCCCCAGCAGGCAGAAATGGCACAGCATACTATTATTTTGAAGCAGGAAAGCAGTTCTTACCCTAGAGATGATGTGCGGATCATTGCATTTAGCCAGTTTTCCAGCAAATAGCTGCACTCCAAAGCTTGCGAAAACAAGCATTAATGTCAGCAAAAGAATAGAAACCTGTAAAGATGAAGGTAGACTTGTCAAGCTCTCCTGCTGCAGACTTGAGAAAGGGGGTCAGATCCTTCCGTGAACTTCAGGGAGGATCATTTTGTTGCATACACCTTCAGATAAAGCTTCCATGACCTTTTTCATGACATTACTGTGGGTTCTGAACCAGTAACTAGGTGCTGTGTTATTATTAATTATTATTATTAACATACCATCTAAGAATTGTAGACAAGGATCAAAGCTTTCTTGCACTTAGTGTACAACCTTGCTAAATTCTGCATGCACAAGAATTGCCATTCAGTTTAAAGAGAACTCTTCAAGTACTTAAATATGTGCCACTTCTGTTTTGCTGAATCAGACTTTACTAATTAATCTAAGCTGTTGTAAGATAGTTAAATCCAGGATAGCTACAATAAAGATATGCATGAGCAAATTATGATATAAATATCTTTAAGATATAGTATCTATGAAATGCTAACTACTTTTATACTTTTTGTCTTTGTTCTATTACCATCTGCAAACACTTTGTAGCTTACTTCTTTTTAATAACCTGACCTAATACAGTATTCTCTTCAGGAATAAAATGTCTGTTGTTTAGGCTGACACCTATCACTTAAGGAAAGCTGGGTCCCAAGACAATAGATTGTGTTCTGATCAAGCAATCACAGACTTCATTATTATTATTATTATTATTATCATCATCATCATCGTCATCATCACCATCATCATCATCGTCATTATTACTACTACCTCTACTACTATTACTATAACTGCATAATCATGACCATAATAACAGTGACATAACAATGAGATCCAGAACTGTGATGAACAACTGCATTGTCTCTGGTTGCCTCTCAAAAAACTTGGAGGTAGAGACCTTCAGCTTGGAAACCAGGTTTACTTTTGTTCTTGCAGAGCTGCCATACCCTACTTCTCATCTTTCTTCTCCAACTAAAACTGTGAATAAGGGCTAGGTTTTATTTCACTAGTCCTCCTATGGCCAAATATATACGGAAGAAATAATATCATTTATAAAAGAATTATTACAGCAGCTTTATTCCATATAAATGTAAATAAATTACTTGTAATCCTAATTTGTAACCTGTTCTGTGGTCATCTGCAGTGGTAGCTACAATGAAAAGTAAACAGACAGCAATGGACAAAAGATTAGAAAACATAAACCTTAAAGCAAAATGGTATCTCATTACTCCTCCATATCTTCTTTTGAACAACAAGAACAAAATAATTGGCACATACCAAAAAGATTTCCTTAAAGCCACTAAACAGCTCTCGCACCACTTTCCTCATCTGAGGGACCAGTTTGAAAATTCGAAGAGGTCGGAGGCAGCGGAGTACCATTAAGAGCTGAGCTCCTGATTTGGCAGGGACGTTCTGAGGCATCCAGCACAGGAATATCAAACTTACCTTGGAGACAGAGCACAAAAAGGGGCAAAGAAGGATTAGGCTTACAATATCTTACTTGACATAGACACAGCACAGAAGATCAATAAACACTTCCCTTCCTTAAAATTAAAAGGAAGATTAAGGCAAAAAAAGCTTAATTTAAGAAAAGGACTTGGATCGCCTGTGCCCTGGCTGATTGTCCTAACTAATGGGCATCAGCTTCAGCCTCTGCCTCCCCCTTTGACTCAAAATCTATTTTACTCTTTTCAGCAGATGGAACAGTTCCAAAAGAAGAAATTGGCTGATTCAGAGCAGGGACATGAACTATATTCTTGGAGCAGGTAGCATCATGTCTCCACATCCTTCTCGTTTCAAACAGAGATTCTATCCTGAAACTGAGATATCCTCACCTGGAAAGTCTGTTAAGTTTCCTCGCCAGTTTTTCCTACCACTTTGTTACAGGCATAAGTAGTTTTGTCACCATGTGGTTTTTTCACATGAGTATTATTCATTCAAAAGTGTTTTCAAGCAGCATAGCTGGGTCTTGTAGCCTGAACAATATCTGACAGATGGTTATTGATTATAAAGTTTGTTAATAACTTCTTATTTTTTAAAATGTATTTATAAAGCCAATGTTACTACAGGGTGACAGAGGTGAGAGTGTTACAAAGAGGGAAGTGCACAAAAAAGGGAGTATCAAGCTGATACCACCAATATGATTTAAAACATAATGTGATTTGTTAAAACCAACAGTGTTAAAAGACAGCCACCCCACCAAAACAAAAAGATTTTCTAGTGCTTCTGACTTTCTTTCATATTCTTTTAAGACCATTTGGAATATCCAAGCTACACCACCTAAATTTTCCTTCAGACAAGCAGACGGATTCAGAGGGATTTCAAGAAATTAATGCACATACTGATTATGCATACTACAGTAGGAGTTTTGTATAAGTATGCATATTTTTATTTATGCTAACAATGGAATCTTTGATACAAATTGATCGTGACAAATTTTATGCAGCACATCTGTCTGGTGGATTAATCTCTGAAAGATTTAATCTAAATCCATCAAAGCCATTTTGCTTAGTAATTTCTTCAGTTAGAAAATATTTCATACTGTATTATACTGAGTACTGGTTTTGACACATTCTGTGGTGTTTATTGTCATACATGAAGGGGAAACAGACCCCCTTCTCTTGTATTTGAATGGAAAGCAAGAAATTATCGGGGGACAAAGAAAACAATAGAATAATTTTTTCCTGAGAACCACTACTGATAGGTGTGGAATATAGAAAGATGCTGTTTGCTTTCTTTCTCCTATAGCAACACCAGCAACAAGGATGTGCCCCTCTATCAAATCCTTGAGGCTTTTGAAACACCTTCTATAAAGCAGAATTCTCAAGAGGGGAGGAAACAATGAATGGTGCTAAGAAATAGATAAAATAAAGATTCTCCTGCATAAAAATGCTGCAGCTAGGTCAGAGGTCTTGAGCTTACTTTGGAATGAAATCAGGTCTGATACTTAAAACACATCAACAAATAAATAATTAAAAGAGGCCATACAATGGCATTACACTAAATCGCCAGGTGCTTATCACATGCCAGTGTATTTTTAGATGTCTAAACAAGTATTTGCACACATAACTGACAGGACCACACATGAAAACAGTAGCGTTTGTACAAAAATTATACTACTGCATTTGCACCCGTGTGCAGACTTTTTAACATTACCAAACATTTATATACTCAAAGAAATAAAAATTAAGAACGCTACAGAAACCTCCTATAGATATAAAAACTTACAAGATATATAAATATGTCCATAACTCCTCCAAAGTCCCTAATGACAGCTGTTGGTGTGAAAAACAAGCCATCTGCCATAATCTTCAGATTAAGCTCGATGCTCATGAATATTACAAAAACATATTCAGCAATCTGAAAATCAAAGCAGAGAACAGGCATAATTTAGGAATAGGCAGTGGAGAAAAACAAGGTGACTGTGCTTCATCAAATCTAAAAGGATTCTGCGACAGTACCTGGAGTGTTGGAGCATGCATAACTCTTCTAAAGGGGGACTCGAACATCATGGAAATGCAGGAGCATATCGTAACAATGATCATGACCCAGTCCAGGTAAGTAACCAAACCCAGCAAGTCACTGTGAACAATGCATAAGGATAACCATTACAGAAACGTCAAGAGTGCTACGTCGCTTGTATTGTGTCTACACCACAGTTAAGTGCTTTCCTATGAAAAATAAATTACGCTGAGGAGTGTCAATGACTTCAGTATTTCAGAAATGCGTAATAAAACTAGGGAAGCTACATGCAAGCGAAGAAGAAAAGTCTGATAAAAAAAAATAAAAAATTTCTTCCTATTCATCCTCCTCCCCAAACAACTCCATGGAAAGAAAAACCTTTTTTGGGAAAAAAAAGAAATACACATGTGCATGCACACATACACACATACATGCATGTGTGCGCTCACACACTTATACTGCAGGCTTAGGTGACCAAGCAAAGTTACTTTTGCAGTGCTTACTAAAGCTGATGGTATTTGGTATTTTTCACAGCTCCAGTAACAGGATCTGTTTTAGAACTATAAAAAGAAGAAAAGATACAGTCATTTACATTTTATTTTAGTCAGCATTATAATTACACCATGCATCCATCAACTCAAAGTAATTTATATCCAAAATCAAGGCTATGTTTTATCTTGGCTTAATTTTAAATGTCTGTATAAGTTTCATTTAATCTATGCAATTTTAGTCATATTACCAACACAGCTAGTATCACTTTAATTCATGGCCTACCTGTAATTCCTCCAATGATTCTTTAAACTTCTAGTTTCATAGAATCATAGAATCATAGAATTTTGGGTTGGAAGGGACCCCTAGAGGTCATCTAGTCCAACCCCCCTGCAGTGAGCAGGGACACCGCTAACTAGATCAGGTTGCTCAGAGCCCCGTCCAACCTGGCCTTGAATGTTTCCAGGGATGGGGCCTCCACCACCTCTCTGGGCAACCTGTTCCAGTGTTTCACCACCCTCATTGTAAAGAATTTCTTCCTTATATCTAGTCTAAACCTACCCTGTTTTAGTTTAAAGCCATTACCCCTTGTCCTGACACAGCTGGCCCTACTAAAAAGATTTTCCCCATCTTTCCTATAGGCCCCCTTTAGGTACTGAAAGGCCACAATCAGGTCTCCCCGCAGCCTTCTCTTCTCCTTCTCTTCTGGGCTAGCCCAGGGTATGGTTGGCCTTCTGGGCTGCCAGCACACATTGCCAGCTCATGTCCAGCTTTTCATCCACCAGCACCCCAAAGTCCCTCTCAGCAGGGCTGCTCGCGATCCTTTGTTCCCCCAGCCTGTACTGATACCGGGGTTACCCCAACCCAGGTGCATGACCTTGCGCTTGGCCTTGTTTCCAGGTCTTGCTTTTGCAAGCAAGGACTTAATTTTGTATTTTTCTTGGGGATGGGGTGTGTGTGGAATTTTATGTTCCAAAGTGCTTCCTCAGGAGTTCTTTCCTTTTACTTCAAAATATCTTGGACCATATCCTCAGTTGACACACAAAATATCCTTCCCCAAGCCCTATTTCTTTTATTACTTCTTCAATCATTTTCAATCATTACTATTTCTAGATTCTCCATACCTGAATTTTCCTATGAAATTGCTGGGCTTCACCTACCGTGTCCAAACACCCATTAGGCTGCCAAAGAGAGTGAGAACCACTCTGTAAGTAATAAGTACATATCTAGGTGACACGAGTTAAGTTCTTGCTCCAGTAATATTTAGCCTTTTTATACAAAGAAGAATGACTTCAGCAG